ACCGAACATGTCTGAAGAATCGTCCGAATTGAAGAAGTGATATAGTGTCAACAACTGAGTTGAAAACGTAAATTAGCCACTGTAAAGAGTTAAAAGGCTGATTTTTCGAGCGTTAGCCCTTCATCAGAGCGATTGACGAAGAGCTAACGCTCGAAGGGTCAGCCTTTTCACTCTTTACGGTGGCTAATTTACGTTTTCAACTCAGTTGTTAACACTAAATTACCTGTTATACTCTCCTGCCGATCTGCGGCAGCCTATGTATTTTCGTCCCCAGGGACTCCATTTTATGGAAAAAAAATCTAACATGATTGTCTCATCACAACGACTCCCTGTTCACGGGTTTCAAGGCGCGTTTAAAAAAAGGTAGTTTATTTAGCATAGTTATGCGAACAGAAAGTTTAGAACCGTTGTAAAGACAGAATACAAATGCGGAAAGAGAATTAAATTTACGTAAAGACTAGTTGTGCGAAGGAAAAGTTAAAGGTCGTTGAGGAACACTAAAGATTCGTAAAGAGAATTAACGGCGCGTAAAGATTGATTTTGCGTAAAGAATGTTAAAGAATGTTAAAGGCTCGTAAAGGACAGTGAGTAAAGATGCATAAAGAATATTAAAGACGCGTAAAGTGTTAAAGCGAAACGGGTCAAAATACTTCGGTAATTCTACTGAAGATGGATGAGCCATAATTATTTCACTTCTTTGAGTATTTCTCAAAATAGAAAGTGGTTTATTTCATCCATCTTGATCTTTATCCTTTACGTACATTTAATATCCTTTACGCAGTCTTTACGCTTTCTCTGCAATTACGCATCTTTACGGAACGCGGAACTTGTCCGTAAAGAAGAGGCTTTATATTTACGTTTCTTTACGCAAGAGTTAGAGATGCGTAAATTTGCGATTTCATGCTGTGATATTTATCGTCATTGATTTTATTACCCGCACACGCAGACTATCATGAGGGTCTGAATGAGGTTAACCGACTGACGACAAAGGGCGAATAATATAACCGACGATCTACAAAACGCGGAGAAAAATTGCCAACTAGCAACAGTAAAACACTGGCCTATGACAGAATTATCGATATTTGTTTTCAGAAAGAAGAGCTTTATAGCTTAGGGGGGTAAATACTTTAAATTCAAGACTCAGTTAATTATAGAATTTCGTGTCAGCGTACTGTACTTTATGGTCGGGGAGGAGTGCGGGATCATTACAGATCAACCAGAACAGCGTCTAGTACTCGAGCCCATGAGACCTCCTGCTATATTGTTTTACGGCGAGCTGTTTACGGTATTCCATGGTGCTTCCATGAGTGAAATTTTCGAAAAAGGTGAATTGGTCGTAATTGAACGTCACCGCAACCGGGTTCCAGTGGTTACCCAACCTCAAGAACATACGTAAGAACATCCCTCAAAACTAACCGCACTTAAGAGCAATATTTGAGGAGCCACCTTGTCATCATTACGTAGAGTATCCTGATTAGAGTTTGAATTTGAAGACCGTACATTTGGGACTTGGGAAGAGACCCTAGTGATGGGAAACGCAATGACACACGCTGAGGAGGCTAATGGTATGGTGAAAATGCGCGGTAACGTCAAACATCAATGGTGTTCATCCGCGTAGCGGAACAGAAACTCCCTTGAGCTACATCGACTGGGACTTTTTAGGAAGCACTCCTAGCGCAAGCGCTCCTGAAAACACTGAATTGACCAGCGGATTTCAATTAAAACAACCATATGGGTAATTCAGTTAAAAAATTAACCAGAAAGATAATAATACGAGCTATGATAAATAGCATAGACACTGATCTATTAGCTGAGCGAAGGTGAATTAAAGAAAATGAACAAACAAACAAAGATTTACAATTGTAGAAATACTGCCTTCCGAGAGGGATCATTTTTGTTTTGTTTTTATTTATCTTATTTTTGAACACGACCTATTCTGAAACAAGGCGTAATTGAACTACAATTATGGCAGTGTTTATCGAAGAAAATTAGTCTTTATTACTTGAATACGAACTCCGATTTATTTCTCATTTACGAATGGTTTTATTTTCATACCTCCCCATGGTAAAAAGATCTAAATAAAACAAATATCACAGTTAGATTATATTTGGTAGGCACGACAGTATTCCTTTTTGTCTCCTAATGTGTAAATCATTCGTGGGTTGTCTCATAATTGTTTAGGGCTACATAAAAACAGACACTTGATTTGGAGTTGAAACAAACGTCCTTTTAAGAGTACAGTTTGTGAATGTAACTCTGGTCATTGAGGAAAATAAGTAAATTTACAGTTGGAATAACTACATGTAGGAAAAAAGCTTGATAAGAGTTACTTATATCTGTATGATTTGATGAGGTCTGCAGCAAAGACCTAAATTATCTCAGTTTGTGGCCCACTATTTATTTTCGCACGGTGATTTTATGTACCTTAATATGGTGCAGAATCGGTGGTCAGCTGCTGCCTTTTTCGTAATTTTTTCGTCGAAAAAATACCCTGATTACAGTTTAGAGAATTATCTGACTGTTTCAGAAAGTAACTAAATTCTCGTTTATACTACACACCGCTATATGTTTCAGTTCAGCGCAACTGCTCAACAACATTTCTGACAACAGTCACGCAACTAAGTTACAAGCTAAGAGAAGAGCGAGGATCCTTTGTTACAGTCAAATGATACAACTGTTCTAAAAGTGTTAAGGGCGTAAACTCAATGTAAAGAATGTTTAACCACAAAAGCTACCAATTTCAGCCTTAATGATAAATTGAATTAAACCCGATAAGTGAAAACTGTTAGAGAAGGATAGGACAAAACTTTAGAAATCGTCGAGAGAAGAAACATTTTCAATTAAATGACTGTGCATATTTTTTCCAGGAATAAAATCCTTGCTTTACTTTCCTTGGGTGGTATGAACATTAACGGCAAGTACAGGAGACCTAAACTCGTATACATTTGCATGCATTGCGAATTATCAATATCAGAAAAAGTTCTTAAGCACTTTTTTACGAGGGGGAAATTACAAGACAACAGAGCTTCACACAAGCACAATATAAGTTAATAAAGGATTTTTTTGTTTGTTTTTTTTTTTGTTAGTATTTCGCGTTTTCTATAAAATTCAATAAGCTCTTATGCTAAGCAATACCAGAAAGGCACCTCATACTACTGATTGACTGAATGTTCAAATTATGAGTCTGGGTTGCTTTAACCGAAGTTATTGTTTAAGCGGTGTTGGTCGCGCATGCACTATGATCTTTTCGTAACAAAATATTACTGAATGAAATTTATGCCAATGATCTCGAAAATTTTCATTGCTTTTAGAACTCCAGAAATATTAATGTAATCAAAATGTCCTCAGCCGTTGTCTTTTTTAGATCGAGAGAAACAATCAGCTATTTAAAATTGTTTGTTAACCGCATCCGGCGTCACTCGGGATTCAGATTTAGGGGGGTTGTTGATCTCAAAATTTATTTTAAAAAATGAAAAAAAAAACCTTTCTCCACGCTACCCTTTGGATAACTCGACGTAGGGTTACTTATCTACTGAGCGCTTCTCGACAAGGATTAGTGTTCAGCCTCTTAACGAATTCCTCGATCCTTTATACCGTACTTAGACAAAAATGAGTGTCTGCTTCCGAATGTTCGGTTTAAAAAAAATCTAGACCTCTTTCAAAACAGTACAGATTCCTCGAGAAAATATTTTTGTAGTCTCTTCAGAGTTCATGTTTTTAGCACTTTCCTGTTCAAGTGAACTCGAAAGACCTGTGTACTTTATTTTCAGCTTTACGTTGAGATGAATCATAAAGTATTTGGTTCTATCAGTCAACTCGAGAAGTTTGTGACCTTTGCACACTACATTCTTTAGTTATGCAGATAATTAGTTGGGAAAAGACATGAATGCATATTTTAATGCTTTGAATACTGCCAAGGAAAACTAATTAGGACATTTTGATGACGCAAACAGGAAAGGGTGCTTTGATTATGAAAAGACTAGGAAGACCAACTTAAGAAGATGTGGCTGACAGAAGGAATTTAGCTGAAGTGATTCTCAGAGTTGAGTCTCGTTCAATATAACAGCTGAACCTTATAATATTTTCCACGTCAATAAACATGATAGTGTTATTAATGATCACTTGGTTCGGCCAACTCATCACAATATATAAAATGGCCCTTCTATCTCTGTTTTTAAATCTAGACTGAATGATTCGCTCCTTTCCTTTTTTTATTCAAGAACGTATAGTTTGCTGATATTTTTGCAGGATGTTTTTGGTGTGTCTGCTTACTTCAACTCATTTTTTTGTCTTTTTTTATCTTAATTATGTTCCGTTAATAGTAATCCACGCATAATAACTGCGTTTGTAGTCTTAGACAAAGGGTAGCATGCTATGAATACCCCATGGTTTCCAAATGAACTCCCCCGCCAGGAAAATAAATAGGATACATTTACATATAAAAGATGTAAATGTTGATACTATTTTATGGCAAATAAATCTATCAATCATCAAAAAAACATTTTTTTTTTCATATAGCGGAAGTGATATCGCTCAAGTTACGCTTAATCCACATCTTTTTTTAAAATCCTTTCTCTGGACTTTTTGGTAATTCTGTTATGAAACATTTAGTTAATAAGGAATAATTTAGCTATTTGCTCAACTATTTTTACCAGTTAGATTAGATTCAAAATAAAAACACCATTTATTTGGGTTTTAGCAATCACAAGGACTGTCTTGATTAATTGTGACTGGCTTATCCAAAATCCATTAGCGGACGAGCTTGGTCGATATGTGTGGCCTTAGGCCCACACTAAATTTTTTTTTGTTTGGATTTGACATTTGAAAAGTAATTGTTTGATCGGAAGCACTAAGTAAGTTAAAGTTCATTTGAGACATTATTTTGGCCAATATGCTTACTCATGCCTGCTGATAGTGAATATTAAAAGAGTCACTTTACAGTTTGCAGTAAGAGAGTCGAATATAGTTTCTCCGAGAGAGTTGACCAGAGTTATAGAGAGTAAGTAAGAGTCGGTCAGAGGTGATCAGTCAGTCAAAGTGGTTACAGAGAAGCAAAGTGGGAAAAGTAAACTTGCTGTAAGTAAAGCTGTATATGATAACAGATGTTTTGAGGGGAAGACCACATCAGTCACAACAGCCGAGTTTTACGGCGCTTTCATCCTCAGCAATATTCGTCTTCCTGTGAATTTCGCTGTCGTCAATTCATAAATCATATGTCTAGAGCAGTTTGTTTTCTCAAGGTGAAAAATTTGCTTGTCTTCATGAGCCACAATTTGGACGGATTTCTCTGAACATTTATTTTCGAATCTCTATTAAGACTAAAAAACTACCTGCAAGAGTGTTGAATTCCCTCTTCAATGATTTAATTTCCTATCAAATGTGGCCCGGTTTATTCAACAATCATGCCGCTTATCGCGATATACCAGTTAATGAGCAGTGCTATGTTTGATTATCTTGTGCCGCTAGCTTCTTAATTCATTCTTCATATCTGCTTAGTGGTAGCTAAATAATGGCTTACTTTACGTAAAAAACGGTAATCAATTTAAACATTCATATGATGGTGTGCATGTATACAGCTGGGGTAATCAAGCAATGGGCAATTCTGCAAAACAGAGATTTATTCATTTCTTTGGTCTGTTTTTAGGCTGCGTAGGGAATTGCCCTTTTGCCCGTGCAACAAAATACGTAGATAAATCTATCGGATGAATAGAAATATTTCCTTCAAAAGTCATACTAATTTAAGTTTTTGAAAGTATGTAAAAGACCTGAACATGTGATATAAATGCTAGATATTGTGTTTCCAAGGTATTAAGACCTATTAAATTTTCTAGCGCTTTATATCAATATGTTTATCATACCAGAGAGCTTTTCACGCAAAGCTTTCCGGCTAGTTTAGATTAACGAATAGTTAATCTAATTGTTTGGACCCGTGTGATATATTGTTGTCGGCAAACTGTAACTTCTATTCTGGGATCCGAGCGATATATACTGATAAGCCAGGAACTGTGGGGACCGCTGTCGTCTGTTGTGGAAGTTTATCGTTGTTAAGTCTGTCCGGGTGGATTAAGAAGATATTTCAACAAAAGCACCAACTTGTCCTGAAAGTTTCTCTCGGTTGTGGTTCAGTAATTTTCCTAAGGATATTGAATAACCATTGTTGATAGAAGGGGGCATTGGAATTCTCGATTTTGCGGTTTGGCTATTTTTTAGATCGGTTTTTCGGTTTTTGCGTCAAAAACGTTCGGTTTTTCGGTTTTGGTGTTCATTGCTGTTAACGGATGTTCCGTTTTTTGGCATTTAGTTTTCGGTTTTCAAGAAAAATACTAACGGGTTTTCGGATTTGATATCCGATGCGGTTTTCGGTTTTTCCTATTTGACCTATTTTGGTTCCAGTTCCTCTTCGATCTGAGCGGCAATTCTGCGCCTCCACTGATCTCGAACAGCCGCTAAGCGCAGATGTTATTTTGAGGAATGCGTGACAAACCAATTGAAATATCGTAGGGATCCTTAGGGGGTTCACGCGTCTCTAATGACGCCCAAAACTTTGACCATCCGTAGGAGTACACGCGTCTTGAATGACGCCCAAGACTTTGACCTTACAGTGTGGAGCATTTAGGTCAAGGTCGATCATTTTGCGTCTTCCAACGTGCCAAACGCACTGGCAACAGAAGAAGGTTAATTGTGGATTGTGTTACGTTTTTTTACGGAGGTTGGAAAGGCGGCGAGAATTTCAGGAAGAAAAACAAGATTAGATGTAAAATAAAAATTGCAATCCTATAGAGAAATCTACCGGAATTTTTTCGGTTTTGCGGTATCTAATGGGCCCCAATGCCCCCTCTTGATAGACTGAGAACTTACTGTTTTTGAACCGCTTCTTTGAGTCAATAATTCCGTATATAAGTAAAATTATTTATCGGTTTTCCAGACCATTTTTTTTTAGGGTTATCAAAAAGGCAGTCAATGTTACCCCTTGAGGACTTCTCTTATCCGGATGGTCGTTTTATATCATTATGGGTGGTCGAATTGGGCCCATTTCGGAAACAGCACTTGGCGGCGTGAACAATTTGTTTCGCCCTCTGAATCTAATCTAATCTTCTAATCGTCATTTCTAGATTATTCTCACTAGAATTGGCTATCAGTCAACACCGTTGTTAATCTGACCTTCGGACTAACGAGGATGAAGTGGCTATGTGTATGAAATACATCTTATATTATATGCTATTCTCAACAGCCTCTTTGCATGTGAATATGAAGGCGAACATGGAAAAGCGAGGTTGATTTTTTGTCCTCCAACAATTCCCGTTTGTTCGCTTCAATGGCGCAAGTAAATGTTGTCTTTCTTCTACCGAAAAGCTAAAGTCAAATGAGACACAATTCAATTACAAGCGAGTTAGATGCGACGTTTACTCACTTGATCGCTTTGGTATCCGTAGCAGTTAAAATGTCCAAAGGCTTACCCAAGATTTAATTTAAATAGAACTCAGAACTTCGCTCAACGTTTTACAACAAACAAATTGTTTTGGAGACTTGAGATATTAATGATTATAATAAAGTTTGGATATAACGCGCTTTGTCATTGCTTGAAAGAGCAGGCTCTATCAGAGTACAAAGCATGGAGCAGAGCTAAAGCTGTCACGCCATCTGCCAAATTGTACTATGTCCGACCTTCTCCAGGACCGCCCTAGAGCTTTTTGTCTTAAACTAAAAGTGAAATTTCGGAACAAGCGAGCCCGCAAGTAGCAACAGAAAAATTAAGGGGTTTGTAGACATGCCAAGGGCCGTAATTTACGTCGTTATAACTTGAGCAGAGTTCCTCAAATCCTGAAAGAGAAAAGGAAATAGACAGTCCGAGTTTTGAAGGTTTTCACGCTCAGTAAGATTGCAAGCTTACGTCCGATAACAAAAATCTAACACTCATAAAGTAGATACAGATTCTTGTTAAAAAACAAAATAACAAACAAGCAACAAAAAAAAAAAAAAAAAAAGACAGAACAAAGCAGGAATGATGAAAAATATTGGCAAACTGGCATAACTGTTAAAATTCATAGCAATCATGAAGGTGCCCGCGTCTCGTGTTTCTCTTTACACTTTTTTTTTTTCGTGTTGTAACCGCTTCATGCATGCTTTACAACAGAACAGAGCACAGTCAAGGCTTCTCTATTTGTTAAATGAAAGGTGTGTTTATCAATTTAATTTGAAATCAATTCAAATACCTCACTTTTTAAGTATCTTGAGTAACTTTCCACTAATTGTATGTATTTATAAGCCATAGTTAGCGGCTATACGGGAGGCCAATGACCATAAAGGCTTGGCCGGACACACGAACAGGAACAGGCGAAGTTGTGATAAAATTGAAAATTATTTGTGCAAGGTGAGAAAGGTGGGCCACGGATATAGCTCCCTGTCAACGGGAAGGATGGGAGAATACCGCCGTCTCACACACTGTGCTAAACAAACTTAAAATACTTTCTTACAGGGATTTTAATAACAGGGGTAAACTTCGCCTTTGACTACCTCACGCTTCAATTGGATTAGCTGAAATCACGTGGGTTTTGTTTAAAATAAAAAAGAAGTTGAAAAAGCTAATGAACATCCCTGGATCACTGAAGTATTTTCCGCGGGTAGTCGCTAAAGTAAGTTTTATACTCTTTATCCTCTATTGTACCTTTAGTTATCGAATGAATTTTCCAATTTTCACCGTCGAGGAGCGCTGTTTAACAACGCTATGATCCTTTGCATATAAAAGACAATGTCAAATTAAGAATCGATTGCACATTAATCTATTAATTTAGAATCGTTTGTACATTTTTCTTAGTTTCACGTTACGTGCATGCCAACATACTTAACTCAAAGTTTTGCCAAATGTATACTGTATGCGTATCAACCTGAAAGCCTAATTAATCAGGTTATGATAGAAAGACAGTTTAAGCGAGTTTTCCGTTTACGAAGTGTTAGGGGCCGGCAAGGCGTGAAACGACCGAAGGTTCTTCTGTTGAATTTATCGGGTATCGGATACCGCAGCACCAGCATCAAGGCTGCCTAGTCATTCACAAAATATCAATCAACAAAAGAGCGTCAAGCTTTTTCGATATTTTGATTGGTTGTCTAGATATCGACATGTAAAGTCGGAGAAGCTAAAAATATTACGTCAGTTTTGAAACTCTTTACGGCAGCCAATTTACGTTTTGAACAAAGACAGACAAAGAGACAGAGACTTTAACAATCCACGAGCCTTTTCGTGTCATTCACCAGGCGTAAATTTAGGATTCGTAAAAGGAGAAGCGCTACGCCGCTTAGGAAAGAATTCGTTACGCTCCTCGTTTAATAATACCGAGTTTTAAAATACGCTTAAATAATAGAGGATACCCTGAGGAAAGTTTTGAGAAACGTATCAAAGCGGGTTGCTTGAAAAGATAGAAAATAGCCCACAAAAGAAAATATTCCCTTTTATGACACAATCTCATCTGGCTTAACTTTGCCAAACCTCGACAACACACAGATAGGGAAATTAATGACGCCCTGATAATCAGATCACAAGGGAAATCCATTAAAAGCTATCCTGTAAAGAGCTTAAAGGCTTGTTTAAGGTAAAGTGACGCGCTTGGGTGGGGGTAACCCGTCTGTCCGTATAATCCCTTATTTTATCTTGATCACGTTTACACGATAGGTGGGGTAACCCGCTCAGGTGGTTTGCCTTGTCAACTGAGGTCGCAATTTACCAAGTAATCGTTTAAGGTGGGTTACCCCGCTTAGCTAGGGTCGCGTTCATGTCACATTTACAAGAGAGCCGGCAACCCAATCCCGGGATCCCGAGGCTGTAAGATTGCATGTAAACGCGGGCTATCTTTCGACAACGGCTAGGCAGGTTACCCAACCTTCACGTAAACAGATCCTTACTTTGACGGCAGAAAATTCAAAATCGTTAGCAAATGGTTGGAGTTGTACAGGCCAATTTAACGTTCAACTCCCTTTTTCATTCCAGCTCACCTAGCGTGTCGTTTTGCGCAATGAAGAGTTCATATACCTCAAGAATAATCAGTTAGCCACATGATCCGACGCCATTGTCCGGCTCGGGG